CTTTGACGTCATCGGTGACCTCGAGGTCAATGAAATTAGGTTTCGCTCGACAGTTTTTCCAAGGCTATCAGACGCCGTTTGAATTTTGACGATCGGCCCAGTAGTTTCGGAGTTAGGAGGGGGGCTATGAATAGCCCCCCCCCCGTAGGGCGTGTTATACGCAGACCCCAGTGGGGCGCGGGTTAACAAGGCGTATCTTAACCCTCGCCGGACCTATTGGTTTTCTACATACGCGCCGGCCGAGGGGGGGGGGGGGGCGGTACGAACCCACCTCGCCGTTTCGCTCCTGGTGAAGCTAGCGCGTCGCGAAAAAAACGAGCGTGTGTGCCGTTACGAGACGCAGAGATTGGTATCCGATTTTAAGGTCCTAGGTCAACCGGTGACCTCTGAGGTCAGGTCAAGTGCCCCAGGGTACGGTTCAGTTTTTGGTGAATAACTTCGCAAAAAACGGCCGCAGAGCCGCGATTTTGGCAGCATCGTGTTTGCCTCGCTCAGGCGCGTCGAATGACATACTTTTTGTTCGGGTCAGGTCAACTTAGGGTGTTGACCTCAGGTCAAGGTCAGGTCAGCACCCCCAGGTCACGAAGTTGGTCGAAAGAGGTCATGTCGCATATTATTCGATTCGGCAGGTCTTCCTGAGTCCATTGGTGGCTTTCTCGAATCGCTAGCTCAATTTGATCGGGAGTTATTGACGAAAAAATAATATGACCTTGATGACGTCATAAATGACGTCACAAAAGGTCAACATTGCAAAAGTGACGCATCTAACCTTGCAAGGAGTGCATCAAATCACGATTCTGTGTGCTTGAGATAGTTGGAGATCGTTCCCGGCGCCAGAATAGCAGTTTTCATTTTTCCCCATTGACTTATAATGGTGAGGTCACGAAAATGACCTGACCTCATATGACCTTTAGGAAAAATCCGAGATATACAAGTTGTGAGACTCATAATGGATACTAGATCCTGCAAGTTTCATTGCCCTGTGACATCTCCTCTGGCAGTGAGGGCGTTGCGAAGTTGCGACATCTGAAGACCGTGCAGTGGTTCACTTATGACGTCATAGGTCAGTGACCTGACCTGACCTAAAAATGCGGTTGGCGTCAAAAGATGCGGCTTGGATCAAAGGTCAGGTATGCCAAGTTTCAGCTATCTATTGCCAGCGTGTTCGGAGCTATCGCGAAAAAACCCTATGGGGGGGGGCGGCACCCACACCCCCTCGGCCGGCGAGGGTTAACCCTCGCCCGCACATGCCATTTTCCCATCCTAGAACGCCCATAAGGGGGGGGTTGCCACCCCCGCGCCATTTCGTTCCTGTTGAAGATAGAGCTTAGCGGTAGAGACCAAAAAGATTCTTTGGGAAGAGACAAATCCAATGATACCCAGTTTTACCTTCTCAGGTCATTCATTTACCTTCTAGGTCAGGTCAAACTAAAAAATGTTGCTGCTTTCGGTCACCGTTGGATATCAAGTGCGCTGCTTATCATATACCGATGACAATGCCGTTTTCTGGTGCCAAGCCAGCTAGAACCTCTTTGTCACACTACCCGACCAGGTTTTTGCTGCTGAGGTCATTTCAGGTCAAGTTAAGTCAAGGTCAATTATATGTGTTTGTATGTCTGTGTGTGTCTGTGTGTATACTGATGTGTGCACCGATTGTTTATGTGTCCATATTACATGAAATCATGATCTGAGAAGCTTTTATCAAAAATGCAGTCCAAAAACTTCACAAAAAGTAAATTCCGCTTGCCCAAAACGCAATTATCTTAGGTGACCTAGGTTGACGTTGACCTTGACCTTGACATCTGTACATCGTCGAACAACATGTTCCATGATAGGTGGGAGGTAAGACTGGCAAAAAAGGCCGAAATCAAGGTGTCAAAAGCTCACAAGGCCCATAGCCAACGCAAGATGTTGAGAATTGGCCATTTGGGTCATGACATGACCTGAAAAACAAGGTCATATCTCCGAAACCAAAAACCACAGAAACTTGAAATTTTCAGTGGACATCAAGAAAGGATAGAGGAGCAGCTATACGAAAAATCAGCCTCCTAGCTCTAAAAATGTTGAGTGCAGAGCAGAAAGACTACCTGGGGGGATGGCATTCCCCCCATGTGCGGGCGAGGGTTAAGAGCCCAAATTTTTCGCTTAAGTAGGTCAGAGGTCAGGTCAAGGTCAGGTCAAGGGTACAAAATGCAAGTTTCTACAGTATCGGCCTTGCACCGTAGTTGCCGAAGAATGGACTGAGACTGATTGCCCAAAACGTGTTCTTAGGCTACCAAGGCAATATTCGTTACATACAATATCATGCAAAGGTTAAGGTCAAGGTCAGGTCAGGTCACCAAAAACGAAATATAGAAAAGGGCATGTGCGACACATGTTTTATGGGTCATTTTATTCATAGAATTCAATAGGAACACTCAATAAGTGATATGGACCACATCTGGATGAATTTCAGGTCGAGGTTAGCTCAAGGTCAGGTCAAGTGAGGTCAAATTTCGAAGTTGGTTGTTAAGGCCTAAAAATGTGTCTGTCTGATGCAGTTTATCACGGCGAATCGAATGGTGCTAATGTTGTTTCCGTGCGAGGTCTAGAACTTCCAAAACATTCATTTTTCGAGCATTTTGTGTGTCGTTATGTCATAAAACTTTGAATAACTCCCACATTTTTGAACCGATTCTTCTAAAAATTGGTATGTAGGTGCATATAGACCAGTGCTCTGAAAAATATTCCGTTTTTTTCTATACACTCAAAGTTTTGGATTTTATAACTATTTTCCCAAAAGTCAGTTAAAAAAGGGCCAAAATCCAAACTTTTCAAAAAACCGAGATAACCAATTGATAGACAAAGTAGAATCACGTATAACCTTTTTTGTTACGTCTTGATTCTTTTAAAAACTAGTAAAACGCCTTTTGGGCGAAAAACGAGCGAGCGAGATAGTGAGCCCTGCACGTGCGCAAGAGCGAGAGGGTACTTCCAACGGGCTTGTGCAAAGCACCCTTCTAACCGGTCGCTAGCGGTGTGCCAAATTTGAACGCAATCGGCCCAGCCGTTCCTGAGATCTGGAAGCGGCATTCTGCACGTGCGCACGTGCAAGCGGGGTCCAAACTGACTTTTGCACGGCACCCTACTAACTGGTCCCCAACCGTGTACCAAATTTGAGCGCAATCGGCCCTGCTGTTCTCGAGATCTGGGAGCGCCCCCTGCACGTGCGCACGTGCTGTAGCACCCCAACCTTAAACCGCGCCCCGTAGGGGGGCGGAAACGGGCCCCCTTGTCCTTTTCCGTCGATATCTCCTAAACGGCTGGAGATATCGCCACCAAACTTTCAGGACCTCTCCGGGCATTAATTTTACACATTGGGCCCAAACATTGTTTCCAGAGGCTATGATAGCTTGGCCACAAATGACGTCAGAATGACGTCATGTTCTGCCATTTTCGACCGAAAAAAGACCTTCGCGAGAAGAGCTGTCATGCCGACAGCTTTGAAGATACAGAAAAATGATCAAGACATAAAAGGTGTAGAATTCACAGGCCTACAAAACTGCTATCTCGGATTTTCGATATGTTTGAGTTTTAACCCCCAAAAATCAAAAATGCGATGTTTTGGATATATTAGCAAAAAAAAACAAAGTTTTTGAGTTTCGAAACAACCGGAATATATGTGATAGTACCTACCGTCTTCTATCTACATACCAAATTTCAGATCGATATCTCGTTTTTTTGGCCAAGTTATAGCGAAAAAACTGTTAAAAAATGATGACGTCAAATTTTCAAATTAAATTTTTGGCAATTCTAGACCACGTAGGGCAAAACAAAGACCACCATCGGACTCCCCGTGACAAGCTGCATCGAATAGATACCCATTTTATGCAAAAATATCAACTTTGAATTTTCACCTAGCATGACCTGACCTTGACCAAAACGTGACCTAAGCTGGCCTTAAAGGCTGCCTGACCCAAATAATCGCATTTGTCATATAAAATGGACCATAAAACATTATCACACGACATTTTCATATTGTGACCCCCCAGGTGACCCCCAGTGACCTGGCCTCTGTGACCTGATCTGGTATCATTGACCTCAGATAGCGAAGTATGTGTTTGACGAACAATGTACCATCGATGGTTTTCAATAACTTACTAATTTACTCGATTTCACAACACATTTCTTGAAATGCCTGTGAACGGTGAAAATCCGACCTTTGACCTGACCTGTGACGTCATCGGTTTGACCTAGGTCGATGAAATTTTGGTCACAAGGTAGTTCCCGGGTGGGGCTATCGAACGTCGTTTGAATTTTGAAAATCGGCCGGTAAATTTCCGAGATCTTAGGGAGGCCGAAACGCCCCCCCCCCCCCTACGGGTGGTAGGGTCCGCCGGTAGCCCTACGGGACGCGGGTCAACACATGCAGATGAATTATCTGATGGAGACCTAACTCTTTTCCGAGTTTGAATTCAATCGGCCCAGCCGCTGTGCCGTTATTGAGGTTGCAATTTTTGGGGTTCTTAAATAATGTTCAACTTTACCACGCGCCACGTGCGGTGGTTGGCAAGAACGCATGGTGACCATCACACCACAGAACTTTTACGTCCAAGTGACATTCAGTAAAGAAGACCGCTTGTCAATCGGATGTCCCGTTCCTAAGATCTAGCTTTTGAAGAGCGTCTCATACTCAGGATTTTCCCGAGGGAGTTCAGTCTGAACTCCCTCGGTCGCTGCGCTCGCTCGCTCGTAATGAGGATGTTGGCGGCGTTTGAAATTTTTGCCGTTTTTGAGGCGAAAATTGCGAACATGACGTCACTGAAACGTCATTTTCTTTTAAAAAATCAAAGGATTTCGCTTAAATTATCAGGAAACCTGTGAAATTGATGAATGATAAGGTACGGAAAGTTTGACGTCGCCGCGTAACGCGTTTAGACGATGCAAGTTACTTCTTAGTTACTTAGGAAGATGCAAGTTACTTCCACAGAGAATCATGATCGCGGAGGTACACGACTAACCGTCTTCTCCCGGTCAAGAGCGCTCTGAATGTAGACATTTTGCTTGGTGATGTTGCCGTCGAAGCTGAGCCGGATTTCATCAGTTTTGTCCTGCTGCGTCACCACCACCGGGTCACCTGCAATGAACATCGATCGAACACCTGTAATAGAGTCTGCTCTCTGGGCTGCGCTGTGCTACCACCAATGTTCTTATGGATTAAGTTGAGACATACCTACATCAAGTGCATCTTTGCCCTACCCTGCTGATGGGGATCTGGCAGGCTTGAATTAGTGATGTCAAATACGGAAAATTTGGAAACCGATACCAAACCAAATGCCAACCAAAACAATAGGAAAATACCGAAAATCAAACCAAATGGTAAAACTGATTGCAATACTAACTTTTTACCGTATGCCGAGATATCCCTTTACAATATGCGCGAGCGTGTGGTAAAAATTACAGGCTCAATGTTATTTGATCTGGTAAAACATTTTTGCCCGTGGGCAAAAACTTTTACCAAAACACGTGCAAATAGTTTTGCATCTTCAAAAGTGACTTAAATTTGTGCAACACACAACTGTAAAATATTACGAATATAGCTGTATTTCATCCAGAGCCCAACAAATCCCATTCGCCTTTCGGAACATTCATTCAATTAGAGATCCATTCGTTCTGTTTTCTATAAAAAACGTTCTTTTAACCCGCGACCTCCTGGGGGTCGGATCCGACCCCCCTCCGTTTTCCTTGAATAACTCATGAACCACTTTCGCTATCTACTTGACACTTGGCATACCTTCTCCCCTATCAATTTGACGTCTCCTTTGAATTTTTTAAGAAAAAACTTTCAAAAAATGTTTGAGATATATCGATTTTAGTGATGTAACTACATGGCATTTTTAGTCAAAAAGTGGTAAATGTTTTAAAAATCACCAAAAATCAGGGTTTGAAGCAAATTGCAAATGAAGGACATGAAAAGACGCAGCTTAACGAGTTCTTTAACATGGCTATCACGGATTTTCCATAAAATGCATTTTTTACCCCTAAAAATTAAAAAAAAACTAAAAAAAATTGGAAAACAGCCAATAAAATCCAAAATTTTAGAATTTCCAAAAAACCGGAATATATGTTGTAGAGCTCTAGTATAACATTAGATGCTCTAAATTTCAACGTTCTATCTTCATTTTTGACCCCCAAATTGTAAAAAATAGCTCCAACATGCATGGGGCATGGTGACGTCATAAGCATTTTCGTGAAATAGAGGCACTTCTGAACATCGCATGTAAAAACAAATGGCACCACTAGATTCCTGAGACAAAGCTCGTCTAGAAAAGTGCATTTTTATGTCAAAAATAAAAGTTGAAAAATTGACTTTTTCTTAGCCCTCGTTTAGTTATGTATGGTAGAAACGATTTTTTATGCTTTCAATGCACACTTATCACCAGCAAAGTGACTTGGGGTCACATATAACCATTACCATCGGATTCGGCGTGAAAAATAAGCCATAAAACATGTGTCGCACGCCCATGTACATAGCATAAAGTGAAAACGTGACCTTTCGTGACCTGACCTGACCTTGACCCGTACTTAGTATGACCCCTATACGCACATGGTACCTTCACTAGGCCTTAGAGGTATTTTTGGTGAGTTTCGAGAAGCAGCTATCGATTCCGCTGTCCATAAGCCTAATCATGCAAAACCCCCTGACATTGACCTTTGACCTGACCTTGACCCGAAAGTTGACCTCAATCTTAAAATCTTAAGAGTGCTTTGGGGAGGTCTCGTAGAGACCTTTCGAACGCCGCCTCGCGGGGCTCGATACGACCATTGGTTCTCGAGATAACAGGGGGGTCGGATCCGACCCCCCCCCCCCAGGCTGTCGTGGGTACGGAAATAGCCCAGGCGGTGCCGGGTTAACCCTCGCCGGCACAGGCCATTTTGCGTCCTTCGACGGCACAAGGGGGGTTGGTACGACCCCCCCCTCGCGTTTGGCCCCTGATCGAGCTAGAGCTTCGCGGAAAAAAACAAGCGTGTTGCCCGTCACGAGAGGAAGCCGATGACACCCAACTTTAAGGTCCTAAGCCATCGGGTGACCTTCCAGGTCAGGTCCCCCGAAAATCGGGAAAATCGGGACCTGTTAGAAAGTCGTAAAGTGTGGCTGCTATGTGGTTTTCCGGGGTGCTGATCACGAATATCGTGTTAGTTTTGATCAGAGATGATGTCTTTAAGCATTTAGACCAGGTCGGGTCAGGTCAGGTCAGGTCAGGTCAGATCAGGTCAACCGGTAGAGGTTGTGACGGGTATTCGTAATACGTGTCAACCGCCTCTGACAGCTTCGTAACATGCTGCGAAGGCACCAAAACTACTTCGCATATGTTCAAATGGTTGCTAAATTCGAATTCAGCTCCAAAAACTAGCCTAGAAACATGTAAAACTCAAAAAAGTGAACCGAGGTCACCGGAGGTCACTTAAGGTCAATGACCTGACCTAGACTTCAGGTGACTTTGACACCCACCCTAATGTATGGGAGCAACATCAAATCACATGTCTGAACGTTTGAAACCACGAAAAGCTTGCAAACACGCGGCTAATGCGAGCCGACATACGCCGAATCGCGATTCCGGCCAAAGATGGTCTCGAAAAAGAGGTCACAGGTCAAAGGTCATTTGGGCCAGAGTCGTGAATTTTTCAGGGTAGGTGTAAAATTGATCAATGCGAGGGTAATTAAAGTTTCGTCGCGATCTGCCGCTTTTTACGCGAGTTATTTATGAAAAACTTTACGGGGGTTGCATCAACCCCCCCCCCCCCTCCCCCTGTGCCGGCGAGGGTTAAAGGAATCAAGACGTAACAAAAAAGGTCATACGTGATTCTACTTTGTCTATCAAATGGCTCTCTCGTTTTTTTGTGAATTTTTTTGATATTGGCCCATTTTTTTCTTTAAAAAAAAAACTGAGTTTATTACGGAGCGAGCGAAGCGAGCGGAGTCTTTCCGTAGATTACCCGAAATTTCTGAGTATGAGCGGCCGGCCGGCCGGCCGGCCGTGCGGACGCTTTTGCGAGGCTTATATCTCAGCAACCACTTGACCGATTTACATGCGGTAATTTTTGTAGGGTAGCTTCATTCCTTCTACCAAGTATTGGACTATTCCTGATGCATGTGGGTGACCTCTTATGCACGTGCCACGTGCAAAACGAAGAGGTGTCAGTTTTGTTATTGTTGCAATATCTCGGTAACTACTGGGCCGATTGCGCTGAAAGTTGGCATGTATGTAGGTAGGCACCCACTAGGCACTGCATATCCATGTGCCAGAGTTGGGGTGCTGCTGCACGTGCGCAGGTGCAGGGGTCGTTTCCAGATCTCGAGAACGGCTCGCCCGATTGCGTTCAAATTTGGTACACAGTTAGGGACCGGTTAGTAGGGTGCCGTGCACAAGTCAGTTGGGACCCATTTTGCACGTGCGCACGTGCAGGGTGCTGCTTCCAGACCTCGAGAACGGCTGGGCTGATTGCGCCCAAATTTGGCACATCACTAGAGACCGGTTAGTAGGGTGCCGTGCACAAGTCAGTTGGACGTACCCCTTCGCAATTTCGCATGTGCAAGGCCCACCCTCTCGCTCGCTCCGTTAGTCGCCCCAAAAGGCGTTATACTGGTCAAATAAACCGGAATGTGTCAGAGAAGTGGTCTATGTACACCTACATACCAATTTTCAGAAGAATCATTTCAAAAATGTGGGAGGTATTCAAAATTATATTACGTCACGACAACATTTTTTTTTTTGAAAAATTGATTTTTTGGAAGTTATAAACCACGTACGGAAACAAACATAGCACCATTCGCTTCACCGTGAAAAACTGCATCAGATAGACACCTCTTTAGGCCTTAACAACCAACTTCAAAATTTGACCTCACTTGACCTCACCTTGAACTAACCTCGACCTATAATTCATTCAGATGTGGTCAATATCACTTAATGAGTGTACCTATTGAATTCTATGAGTAAAATGACCCATAAAACATGTGTTGCACATATCCTTTTTTATATTTTGTTTTTGGTGACCTGACCTGACTTGACCTTGACCTTGACCTTTGAACGACATTGTATGCAACGAATATTGTCTTGGTAGTCTAAGAACACGTTTTGGGCAATCAGTCTCAGTCCATTCTTCGGCAACTACGGTGCAAGGCCGATACTGTAGAAACTTGCATTTTGTACCCTTGACCTGACCTTGACCTGACCTCTGACCTACTTAAGCAAAAAATTGGGCTGTTAAGCGCCGCCTTGTTGAGAGCTTTCGATTGCTGTTTTCCCCATCTTTCTACGACCATCGGTTCGGAAGTTAGACAGGGGGGCAGAATCTGCCCCCCCGTCTAACTTCCGAACTGGGGGGGGCAGAATCTGCCCCCCTCCCAGCAGGGCGCGTATGGCTGAATAGCCCAGCGGGGCGCGAGTTAAGATAGCGATCTTGTGTATTTGTCAGGGACAAGCGAGGCACAGCCGCCGGACAACTGGAACTGCCGCGTGTCCGCACAGAGATGCGGCCCATGGATACTGAGGTCATTTTCAGGTCAGGTCAAAGATGACGTCACAGGAGCTAAAAGGAAGTCAAAATAGCGGCACTTTACATATATATGAAGTTTTTCTCGAATTACTTTCAAGGTATCCCAGCTAGGAACAAACTAATAGCACCATCGTCATCCTCTCGTCGATCCGCATCGAAACATATGTATGTTGAAACATATGTAAACATATGTATGTTCCACGACAAATCGACAAGTGCCCTGCACCCTCATATTTTATTTTTTGCTTAAAATTGGTCTAATGGGTTGTGATGGGCGGGGAAGCCAGCTGTGGCAAGGATTTTTTTTCTTCGAACAACGGTTTCCGAGATATAGCCTCGGGCAATTCTTGGAGTTCGCACTGCAGCCCTATGTTTGGCGGCCTATAACTCAGAAACTATTGGTTTTTTACGATAAAAACTTCATATGGTTTTACTCACAATCAACCAACAAAAATGTTGGCCTTCTCGGATTTTCAATTTTTGAAAATTTTGATCACGTGACCTTTTGTCCTATTTTTCGAAGTGTGACCTTGATATTTTCCCCACTGAAAGTTGCAATTTTGTCTGATGACAATTAAA